CCCCACCCCCCCCGCTGTTCGCCCCCGGGCGCCCTGATTCAGCCGCTGCTGAAACTGACCAGCGCTGACTATAGGAAGCCCGAGGCAGAGTTGCTCTGCCCCGGGCTTCCTGGAATCAGCTGCTGATCAGTTTCAGCAGCAGCTGACTTGGGGACGCCTGGGGTTCTTAAGTTGATTCTGTATGTAAGTCAGAACTGGCGGTCAGTTTCAGCAGTGTCTGAATCTGGACGCCAGTTCCGACTTACATACAGATTCAACTTAAGAACAAACCTACAGTCCCTATCTTGTACGTAACCCGGGGACTGCCTGTACTCATCTAAGTAAGATAGCTACAGAAACATCTCTTCTGCAACATCCAGCTGATGAAAATCTTGCTATTGTGGATACTGAAGTCACTGATTCACACTTGAAGAACCTTTTTCATTTTAACACAACTAACCCAGGTTATTGTAGCATCTAAAAACCTGATTGAATATATCTAATGTGTACATAAAAGAGAGCCAGGAATAAATCCCTAGAAATACATTTAATTTTATAGTAACAGAACCAAAAACCACTTTTACACAAAACTTTACCCACATCAAGTATATCTAAGCAGAAGATCGTGTGTATTCTATCCCCGTGTTTCTCAACCAGTAGCACGAGTAGCCTTAGGGGTACTTGAGAGAAGTCTGGGGGGAGGGGGGGTATGTCAACACAACTGAAATGGGGAGAAAACGGAAGTTGTTTTAAGTTTTACAGCGCTTTATTATTTTTGTACTTTTTAACACCCAAAAATTTCATCGCCTGCCCAGCTATGATTGTTTAAACAAGTGTGCTGGAATGATAGAAAAAAAAATGGTGTCTGAAAACTGTAGGCACTGGGGATACTTTTTTTTTTTTTTAAAGGGGTACTTTATAAAAAGTTGAGAAACACTGCTCTACCCTATCTACTCATAACAGACATTGAAGTCTGAACTATAGTTTGAACAGTATTGCAAAAACACACACAAAAAAGAAAGCGACGAGGAGTCCTGTGGCACCTTATAGACTAACTGAAGTGTAGGAGCATAAGCTTTCGTGGGCAAAGACCCACTTCGTCAGATGCATGCATCTGACGAAGTGGGTTTTTGCCCACGAAAGCTTATGCTCCTACACTTCAGTTAGTCTATAAGGTGCCACAGGACTCCTCGTCGCTTTTGCAGATTCAGACTAACACTGCTACCCCTCTGATACTTGACAAAAAAGAAAGACACACAGATAAGTAAATAATTGAGAGCTTCCGCAAAATATAAATCTTACCTTACTACATCATCAATGTTGTTTCGGTATACTCCTTCAAGTCTCTCTGCAGGAAAACCCATAGCAATTATGTTTGGATAAATATCTGAATATTCATGTTAAGGAAGAATTTGGAAAATACAATTTTGCATAATTTACAAGTTTAACAAAATACTAGAATTAAAAGTTTTAATCAAGATGAAGAGAAATGGCCAAACCACTTCATTACTAAACAGAATTAAGTTTAACAGTTCAAAATACATTAATTATTAAACATGACAAACAAGCAATAAATTCATGAAAGCTATGAGAGGCTTTCCAGAAAATGTTTGGGGTAGGGGTATAGGGAGGTAGGAGAAATACTGTTCAGCCAACTAATCCCAGAGCACACTGAATGTCTTAGATACAAAAACACTGGTTGCAAATTCAGATAATTAATCTACCCGAAACATTCACAGTTGAACAAAACCACTAGCATTCACTAGAAAAAAACAACTGCAGAACCAAGACAACAAAAACTTTGAGGAAAAAGTGTTATACTCCTCCACATCCACAGCATTCACAATCATAAATCTATTTCAAAAAATAAAAATATTATGCAGTTTTAAATTACACAAAACATTCCAAATTAAAAGCTTCTTTAAGCCATCAGCAAGATCCTAAAATAGGCACTAAGTACTAGTCAGCAACATTCTACTTTAAGATACTAATGTACATATATCAGGTACGCAGGGACTAGCAGCCCTACACAAATAGGGATGTTAAGCATTACCCAGTAAGCATCACCCTTAACAGGTAACAGTTAACCAGTACACAGGAAGCAGTCTGCAGGCTGCTCCAACTCTGCCAGGCACTCTCACAGGTTGCGAGCTGGCATCCACACATGGGATCAGAAGCAGCAGTTCGTTGTGGAAGTGACAGCAGTTTCTGAAAGCATCAGTGATTCTGCTGGACCCACCTGGGTAGGAGCCAGCAGCCCCATGCAAGGCTCAAAGAAGCCAGCTAGAGCTGGAGCAGGCCCCCCCCCACCTGCCCGGTCTCATCAGTTAACCAGTTGAGTTTAATGTTTAACCAGTTAATTAAATGGGATTTTAAATCCCTAACACAAATAATGCAATCTATCACTTGAGAGAATGGTTGAGGTGGCATTCTATCCTCAGTATGTCTGATGCTGTAAATATGCAACATTCACCAGATGAGAATTTACAGTATCCTAGAATGATTATGAAAGTCTCTCTCTATGGTGTAATTTGGACTTCACTCATTTCCCCATTTTGGGGGCAAGTATTCAACTATTCTTTCTGAACTGCTCCTGATTGATACATTTATCTCAATGCCATACATAACATCTGGGGAAAGAACATAAGCATCTACTTTCAAAGAAGTTGACTGTTTTAGAGCAACTACTCCTAGAACCCACAAGGAAAGAGGTAATTCTTGATTTATTCCCAAATGGAGCATAGGTATCTAGTCCAAGAAGTGAATATAACTGAACCAGTTGGTAATTAACGACTGTATTATAATTAAGTTTAACATCCTCAGAAGATAGAGAACACCAAAGAAGCCCAGCATTGCAGCATTTAATTTTAAAAAGGATACTACATTAAAATGACAATGCTAGTTTAATTGAAATTGAAAAAGTACAGTCACAAAGGTAAAATACCTGAAAGCTGCAAAGAAATGTAATAAACCATAATCAGGGTTCAAACTAAATGTATGCCAAAAATTTAAAAAAAGAAGGGGACCCAAAGAGCACAACCATAAATAAAATGGAAACATTGTTTCTGTTACGGGAAATCATGCCTCAACAATTAAAATTCTCTGAAGGGAGGCAAACATGTAGACAAAGGTGATCTAGTGAAGATCGTATACGTAATATTTTCAGAAAGTCTTTAACAAAGTCCTTCAAAGGCTTTTAAGCAAAGTAGCTTATCATGGGATCTGAGGAAAGGTCCTCTGATGAATAAGTCACAAGTTAAAAGATAGGAAACAGAGGGTAGGAAGAAATTATCACTTCTCCAAGTGGAGAAAAGTACATCATGATGTACCCCCATGGAGCAACTGTAATGTGACTAGTGCTCTTTAACATTTATAAATGATCAAGAAAAAACATAGCAGTAAAGCAGCAAAAATTGGAGAGGATACAAAATTACTCAAGGAAGTTCAGCTTTAAGCTGACTGCAAAGAGTTACAAAGGGATCTTACAAAACAGGGAGTCTAGGCAACAAAATAGCAGATGAAATTCGCTGTTGATAAATTCAGAGTAATGCAAATCAGAAAACAACCTACACATACAGAATAGCTAATTTAGATCAATATTACCATTGAGAGATCTTGGAGACATTGTGGATAGGGCTTGTTAGGGACTAGTCGACTATCTGATAAACAAATGCTTACCAGATAGTTGAGTAGCCACAATTAGTTGCTTCCCCTGCTTGCTGCCTCTATCAGAGAGAGGCAGCAAGGGGGAAAGGAGCAGGAGCCAGTGCTAGGGAAAACTCTGTCTCCATGCGGAGCAGTGGGAAAACAGCGTGCGCTGGAACTGCTTCAGCCCCCAATGCTTCAGCAATACAGGCAGTCCCCGAGTTACGCGGTTCCGACTTACGTCCGATCCGCAGTTACAAACGGGACTCTCTCGCCCCGGAGGACGGGAGCGGCGGGATGCCCAGATGCGCCGTGGTCCGCTGCCCCCGTCCTCCGGGGCGAGAAAAGCTGCTCCCCGTCTCCCTGGTCTGCTGGTTGGGAGATGGGGAGCAAAGCCTTGGAGCACGCCCGCAGCGGGACAGCCCGGGCGCGCTTGAGCTGTCCCCCTGCGTGCGTGCTCCTCGGCTTTGCTCCCCGTCTCCCGACCAACAGACCAGGGAGACGGAGCAAAGCCATGGAGGACTTGGGCGGTCCCGCCACCCCCGTCTCCCTGGTCTGCTGGGGGGGGTGCAGCTAGTGCCACCCCCAGCAGACCAGGCTTTTCTTGCCTACCCCTGGGGTAGAGCAGCTGGGGGGCGGCGGGGGTGGCGTCAAATTCTTTCTTGGCTGGCCTAATTATACTTTTACACTTGACTGGCCAGAGCTTATGGTCCTTTCTGTTTTCCTCAGTAGGTTTTGTTTTTTTAACTCTGCCTCTGTTACTCTGTTTAGCCATGGTGACATTTTTTGGGGAATTGTCACTGATTTTTCTTTAATTTGATCTCTCTCTCAAACAGTTTCTATGCCGAGGACAATAGTGTGCTTGGGAAGACAGACGATTCCTGTGCTGACAGGTTTTAGTCTCTTCCCTTCTTTAGACAGAAGCACTTCAAAAAGTCTTCTGTAAACGTGGATGTCTTATAAGTACACATTACTGAACACTTAACACACAACACAGACATTTAGGAATTAAAGAACATTTCTCAATGAGTGTAATAAATACATGACCATGGTTTCTCATTAGATCAGGAATAGAATACATTAGAAAAGATCAAACTAAGAGACACACTGACAGAATCTTTCCTTGAGGGTTTATTTTTAAAAAACTTGTGGTGAGTTGTTTAATATTTGTTATGCTGGTGTCTCAAGGCCCAAATTGGGATCAAGACTACTGAGTTTGGGAGGATGCATTAAGGAAGATTGGACATTCAGAGTAACAGTGCAGAAGGTTTTAAAAAAAAAGCATGCATTTTAGGGATGTAAGCGACTAGTTGACTAGTCCCTTGACAAGTTGCTCCCCCGCTTGCTGCCTCGGGGAGAGGAGGGAAAAACAAGAAAATAGGAGCCAGTGCTGGGGGGAGCTGCTTAAAAAGCTGATTCCCCCAGCAGTCTCCAGGGTACTGCCTGCCCCTCCCCCAGCCTCTATCAGAGGCAGCTGAGGGGGGTGCGGGACTAGAGAACACTGCTGGGAAGCAGCCCCTATCCACAGGGGCCCCAATGGGGAGCTGGGCCCCGTACAGACAGGGGCTATTACCACCAAGTAACCCCTGTCCGTGACCAGCCCTAGCTGCCGCAAACAGGGGATGGTGCCAGAGCAGCCTCTGTTCGCAGCCTTCAGAGCAGAGGCACAGGTGGCTCCAGAGCCAGCTCCTGGAGCTACTTCTGCTGTGACTCTGCACAGCAGCGCTTATTGACTAATCATACAGTCGATACAATCTATATTGACTATACGATTAGCCAAATAATCACATTTTAACATCCAGAACTAAACGTTTGCTCAAAAATGCTTATGGTGCATCCTACACTAAGAAGTTAACTTATGAAAAACCACTGTTCCAAGACACTACAATATATAAATATAAAAGACTACGAATATACACTAGCAACCTATGCAAAATCAAATTAACATTTCTCATTTTGCTACGTCATAACTAATAGCAAACCTTTCTATTAAAATAGTATTTCTCCATCTCAAGAACATATTCAAGTATTTGACCTTAGGCATGTTCAGCTATCAACTAAGTTTACAAGCCATCTTCCCCTTGAGCACCGGCTCTGTGGACCCACCTGCCTGCCCCCCATGCTGCTACGTCTACTAAAGGCAGCAGCATGGGGGGGAGGGGATGCGCGTGCGCGCAGGAGACGCTGCAGCAGAGCAGACTGTGGATACAGCCTTCGTCCACAGCGAGCCCGGGTCCACTACAAATAGCAGCTGCTCCATGGCAGCCTCCCCTGCCTCCAATTATGATAGAGGCAGCAGCTCGTGCACTGGCTCCTGCCCTCCATGGTTACCTCTGCAGGAGGCAGCATGGAGGGGGAGGAGAGTGCGAGACATTCAGACTTACCACGTAGGCAGTGTGGTGGTGGGGTGGAAGGTGGCTCCACAACATTCAGTGCTACTCCAGAAAACGCATTTGAGAATATTCATCCACAGAATCACGATGCCATTATTCTCAACACCTATTCATGTCCCAAGAAAAAAAATATCCCAACCATCAAAAGCTACTATTCTCTCAGTCTATACAACTATATTAACCAAGCTAAATACTTTCCAGGATTTCTGTATGGATTAATCTACAGATGAAATAGATTATAGCAGGGCTACTCAACTTTGGAAGCCCTGGGGGCCACAATGATACTCACAGCACATGACGAAGGCTACAGCTTAAGTGTGGTTGCATGTATATGCAAATAGTGTGAAAG